CACCCAAGTCATCTCTATATTTATATCCACCATTTTGTAATTGAAACATGAAAGTTGTTCTGAAATTCCACTTGGATATATTTCTGGGTATTTTTCCTGCAAAGATTGCTTTGATCTTGCAAATATAATATTGGTGATTTAGGTTTAGGATCAACTTTAAATGAGCTCACCAGCAATATTAGCTTTATCAAAAAAAAAAGGCATCAAATTGTGATTTTATCTCTTCTGTATCATTAAACTTATGATCTAAAGAGGAACAAAGTTCTATCATACTAGAGTTTGTTTATACCATTGATAAAAAAAATTATATTTACAATTGTTTTTTTTTTAGGAATATTTTTTTGCATCAACTCCTCATCCTCCAATTCTTTTGGTGTGTACAAGTCCAAGCTTTCAATTCATCTAAAATTAGTTTTGTTATATTATTATCTAAACCAGCAATTTTTTACCTTCAAGCTTAATTAGAATTCCCACTTCTCTCCAAGCATCATTTGGTCTATTTTTTTTTAAGCAAATTATTTTCAAACCATAAACTTATCATTAATTAAAGGTACATAATTCATTGTTATTTGAACTTCTTAGATCACAAATAAATAAGTTGATATTATTTTCTATTTGAATTGAATATGGTCTAAATTCAATATTTAATAACAACTCTTGAACAACTTCATCCAATTCAAATCCTAAAACCTCAGCTCCAGATATTCTTCTTGTTGAATTAGGGTTAATATTTTGATACAACTTGGATACAGCATCGGTTGGATTTTTTTCAACTTCACTTGAAAGTTATTTACATTGACAACAATATCCTGGACAAAATTCATTATCTTTGTAACATTTTACAATATGCAATATATACTTTTTACCATTTAAGAAAAATTGTGTTTTCATTCCAATGCAAATTGGATGATAAAAACAAATATCACTTTTATTCACTTTTTTGGAGGTTTGCCACCACCAATCTTTTGCATGGATTCCATGATGTAAATCAAAGTCTATGATACCAGCAGATAATAATTGGACTGAAGTGGTCATTATTAAAATAATAATTTATTATTATATTTCTTAAAAAAAAAATGCGGGAAATGTTTTTTTTTAATATATTTTTTTTTTAAAAAAAAAGAAAATGTTTTTTTAATATATTTTCATGAGAAATGATTTTTTTCTTTAAAAAAAAATAATGGTCAATTTTGGATTTTGTGATCTCCTAAATTTTAATAATAATAATAATAAATAATGTTTAATATCCCGGATCTGTATATTAAAATTTCTATCGTTGATCAATTAAGCCTTAATTCCTCCATGATAACAATATCAACATAATGAAATTATAAAATTGTCTTAACTTCAAAACCATGATTTGTTTTTTTGGTCTTACATGGAGGAGTTAAGGGATCTACAAGAAAAGTTTGGCAATTAGGTGACTTGTACTGTATTCCGATTTTTAATTTATACATCACTTTAAAATATGTTAAACTCAAAACAATCCAAAAAATCTCAAATGTCGTCAAGATCTATCAATTTACATGAATTTAATTTTTAAAGACCAATTACAGACAGAATTAATTTCGATGTTCTTTGTGACATCGCAGGTGAGTTTGTTGATATCACCAAAGATATTTCGTATCTGTAGCATGTTTCACCAATTAAGTCGATCACTATAAAATTACCATTTTTAAAAAAAAAAAATGTTCCTCCTGTATATATCGAGATATCGAGAAAGAATCTATCCATCCCACGACTTTTAACAAGTCTTAAACCTTTTTTAGTTGAAAAAAAACATTTACAATGTCAGATCGTTTTGTGGAATTAACAGACATCCTAACCTTGTCCCAAGTATATAAAAAAGGTGGATTTGATTATCGGATCCCAGAAAGATTTAAACGTGAAAAAAATTTTTTTTATATTATTGTGGAATAATTATCATTTTCTTTAATAAAAAAAAAATAATGTACATTATATTTCAGATGATATAAGTTTTTCTCACAATAAAACTTTTAATGATAAGATATCTTTAATGTAAGTCAATTGATAATAATAAAAATCCTATAAAGAAAACTTATCAAGCTTTTGTATTTATACTTTAAAAAAAATTTTTATATATATAAAAGCAAAGAAGACATTACGAAATTGAAAATTGACTCAATTGGTTAGTGATTAGGAAATATGACCATATATCTATGTTTATTTATTTAATTGATAACATATTAATTGTTATTAACATTACCTGAACAACATTATAAAGAATATTTTACACTTTGTGTTTAAAATTGGTATGTAAAGAGCTCACTGATGACTTTTAAAAATTTTTTTAATAACTTTACAATATATGAATAGTTAATGCTGCAAATGAGTTTCTCATGGGAGGAGGAGGAGGTAAGAGATTGGGAAAATTCATCATAATTAAATATATGAATATCTTTTCAAGGCACTGACTGATTAAATGAATAATAAATTTTTTTAGTTGATGGGGCGATTCACAGGTGAACACTCAATTATAATATTTATTTTTAAAAACTTCATGTTATCATTAAAGCGTTTTCTCAAATAAGAGATGAAAATTTAGAGCTGCAGGTTCACTATCACGAGATCAGTAACGTCCATATTTATTATTATTATTATTTTTAAAAAAGTACGAAATATAAATGAATTTAATTAAATCAAATTGCAATCCTTGTTATAATCAACAAAAAATGTAGGATCAGAATTTTAAAGTAAGAATAATATAATCCTAATTTCAGAGATTATCCTAGTGAACAGGATTTAAGGCGTAATCCACTCCAACCCAAATTGCGAACACAGCCACTAAATATTATAATAATAACAATAATTTTCTAAATATAAATTAAATTTTGGGGCAAAAATCTTTTTTTTTTTTTTGATTTTCTCAAAATCATGATTTTGACGTTGGTTGTGTTTCTATTGTCCATGCCCCATATTGTAATGCTGAATTTTTATCAAATCTCAACCCAATTATCATCACTAGCTTGATTAATGATTCTAAAAACAATAGAATCGCCAATTCTGGAATATCCCACAAATCCTTCGATACATCGAATGGTAGATCATCACTTAATACACCGGTCAGTGGATAAGAAATATAAGAATAGGAATTGATCGCAGGATTGTTGATATCAATATTCGCAAGATTATCACAAGAGGCATTCATTCATATTACTATCAATTATTATTAGTTGGTGGGAATAAAGTTGGTGAATAGAAAATAAAACTCAATACAATTTGACAATGTGTTAGATTTCTGTGCCAATTAAAAAAAGTTTACAATTATTCAATTCACTATTACTATTTTATATTGTTAGGTTGTGTTGTATAATATGGAAGAGCCATATTAGATTGTTGTTTGTTGTTTGTTGTGGTGTAGTGTTCCTATTTGTGTCTCTAACTCCATATTCGAATATTCGTAATTTTATGGAAATGATATTCGATTCTTATTCGAATATCCGTAACAGTAACATTTTCAAATACTTTCAAATAAGTACTATCAAAAATACTATTTAAAATTATATTTTGTTAATTTTCAATTTAGTTCTAAATAACAATAATTTGTGGATTTAAATGACTCACAATATTTGGCTTGGTTGAACCATTGTATTACTGGTTTTTGATTTATTAGCCTCCAATAAAAAATTTATTTTCAAATAAATTGTAAATAACTAATTTAAATAATTTCTACAAACAATTACCTATATTTTAGAGATTGAAGAAGTCCAGGGTATATTTGATTTGGTTGGAATAGAAATTTGCGGATGAAGTTTAATTACTTCTACTTTTAATAATTTTTGAATTTGCACTGGAGAAAAATTTTTTCATTCACCCGTGTTAGGTAAAGATCTAGCTCTAATAACCAGCATATTGATCTTCTGTTGGCTATTTCCATTCAAACCAATTGGATATACCAGCTATTGTATTTATTTTTCCTTTGTTTTTTTCTCTATTTGGTACCAAGTTTGCCACTGAAGTACCTTTTAAATTGATTGCTTTTTCAATATCATTACCTTCTATAACATTGCATCCCTAATCTAACATATCTTTTAATCGAATATGCAATCTATAAACGTTGAAATTAATTAGTTAATTAATTAAAATAATAAAATAATTTATAAAAGATTTACCTGAGCATGATGAGAATCAATTGTAGTTTTAGCTTCATCAGCTTCAAGAAAAATCCATTTACGAATTGTAATATCATACCAATCTTTCCAATATGATAAACTCACCATCATTTCTGAATTATGATAATGAGGTCCATTATCAGAAATAATTGTATCCATTTTGGTTTTTCTAACATTGTTTCAAAAACTGCATTTAAGGGAGATGCTGTAAACCATGCATCTTGTTTTGTATCATCAGACCAGTGATCATATGCAGCTATATTGTAATCTTCTTGATCTTCAAGTCTGGTATACATTAAAACTGAATGTAATGTCCTCCAAAAAATCCAGTTTTGGTCTCTTGAGCTGTCTTTGGTAATATCCTCATTTTATAATCTACAATTATTATAGCACCATTATTATCCAATTCTAATAAATTAGATCTAATTTGGGTATTTAATACACCTTTCTTGTTTGATGTGCCAAATAATAGTACAATTTTTGTCTGCAAGTTTTCAAAAAAATTATGAATTTTTAAACAATCCATGCATCTTAAATTATGCTCATCATTACATTCACCAAATGCATGTAGTAACAATGATCAAGGCACTTATCATGCTTTAATTGTCCATTATTAATATTATTCCTTATTTCATTTTCATAATCTTTTTTCATATGCCTTTTAATTAGTTGAATTTCTTCTGACAACTCTTTCTATTATATATGATGATATAAGTAATAGAAAATGAAATAACATAATTAATATTATAAAACAATATTATAAACAATTACCTGCATGCCACTATCATTCACATATTTTATTACAACTTTATTTAAATCTTCAGACACACTATATCCATAATCAGCACAAATTGAACAGAGTCCACCTAAGCCATCTCTATATTTATACCTGCTATTTTGTAATTGAAGATTGAAGCATGAATGATGACCTTGACATTCCATTTGGATATGTTTCTGAGTATTTTTTCCATAAAGAAATCTTCTGATCTTGCAAATATAATATTGGTAATTCAGTTTTAGGCCCAACCTTATAAGAGCTCATAGAAACATTGGCCTTGTCTGAAAAAAATGCATCAAATTGTGATTTTATCTCTTCAGTAATCCTGGTTTTTCATGTATAAACTGGTTTTTCTAAAGGCTTGCACCCATGCCCATAAATTTGAGAAAACCTTTTAGCTCCTGATATAGAATTAGGTGAAACCTAATAAAAGTTCATTGGCTTGTGTATATAAATAAATATATTAGTTAATTATTAATTATATAGCTGGCTCAGTCTAAAGACCTCCTAAAATTTTAAAAGTATAGAAGTCATTTTCTATCCTATCTTTTTAAAAAATAGCTCTATTAGTTGATAGAATATGTATTTAGTTTTAATGTAATAAAGAGATTTTCTCAAAAAAATTATTTGTTGTAGAGTTCTATTCTTTTTAAAAACATGTACTTTACTATGCCCATGAGAAATTTGAGCGCAAGGATCATTGCTAAATTTAGACCAGTTTTTGATTATCATTACTAAATTTAGACTAATACTCACCATCATATCTAAATTTGGCAGTAAGGAAAATATTTAGCCAAAATCACGTGAAACCCTTTTTATAAAAAAATTTTATTGCATTTTTGAACAAATAATGAAATCGCAATTTTTTGAAATTTGAGCGTGCGGTGCAGCAATAGGAGGTCTTTAGACTGAGCCAACCATAGAAGAAATTGTGTTGTCATTGATGTTATTAATACTATATCATTATTAATGTTGTGAATTTTTTTCTTGTCTATTAACATTATTATTATTATTGGTTATTTGAATGGTGGAAGAAGGGTTTGTTTCTGTTAATGCAAATCAGAACAATTTAAACTCGCCATTACCACCACCAATGCTGTTACCACTAGTGCTGTTACTATTATTGTGTCACCGTTGTTATCATTGATTTAAAGAAATACATGTAAAAAACAATAATAATAGTATTAGCAAAGTCGGTCATTGACTTTTTACTGTGATACAAAAATTTGACAATAAAAACGGTGTAAATCAAAAAAAAAGTATATATTTCTTTTTCTTTAAAAGTGTCATTTGAACTTATAATAATAATAATAAGATGCCTGTTTAACTATTAGGATATCTGATACAGAAAGTCGGAGTAATTGTTTTTACAATTAGTTGAAGAAAACAAGGAATTATCAAAAAGTGAAAAGGAATATTTAGGAGAAAAATTCAATATGAACTTGTATTAAAGAATGCTCCTTGTTACGATATAACTAAATTTTCAGATAATTGAAATTATGCAGTTGTTCTAAATTGTATGAATGAAGGAAATTTAGGAGACTGGTTAAAAAAAAAAATTCAAGTTAGATATTTAAATGTTTATGCAATGCATTATATTATATACATAAAAAAAAATTTATCTACTATGATTTACATACATATTGGAAATATGTTAATGGAAGAAGGTCATTGTTATAACACAGATTTGGGATCATGTGGGTCAGTTGGTGATAAATCATTAAATGCTACTTAGTAAAAAAAAAAAATACAAAAGAAATAAATATTTATAATGTTGAATGCTTATGTGGAAAATATTTGCAAGCCATTCACTATCAATATTGTCTGATAATTATGCACAACTGTTGAAGATATTTATAAAGTTGGAAAAAAATGCCAATAAAAAAGATTAAAAGATTATTTAAATCATAAAAAAACACATTTGATTTTAATAATGGTAACAGTGTTAGTGGTGATGATGATAGGAATAATGATGACCATGATGGTAGTAGTAGCAATTCACAACAAAATTTGATAAAATATTAGATAATGAAATTACCAAATGTAAAAATTTGAA